GTTGATTAGGGGAATACATGTGTATGTTTGTGTGCAGGTATTTATTTCATAGCTGCATGCCTATGAGATGACAAAACCCCAAGCGACTTTAGGTGCAAATTCTCCAAGTATCAATGAAGTTCCTTCTTTATCAACAAATTTATCAAAGGACTACTTATCTTTATCAATTGCCTCTTCTACTTGAGCCTGAATGCTGTGCTGTGTACTATGAAATGCCATGTGCAAATGTGGCACATATACACCATGGAATATTATGCAGCCATGAAAAACGATGAGTTCATGTCCTTTGTAGGGACGTGGATGAACCTGGAGACCATCATTCTTAGCAAACTGACACAAGAACAGAAAATGAAATACCGCATGTTCTCACTCATAGGTAGATGTTGAACAATGAGAACACATGGACACAGGGAGGGGAGAACTACACACTGGGGTCTGTTGGGGGGGAATAGGGGAGGGATAGCAGGGGGTGGGGAGTTGGGGAGAGATAGCATGGGGAGAAATGCCACACATAGGTGAAGGGGAGGAAGGCAGCAAATCACACTGCCACATGTGTACCTATGCAACTATCTTGCATGTTCTTCACATGTACCCCAAAACCTAAAATGCAATTAAAAAAAAAGAAGAAAAAAAAAAAAAAGAAATGCCATGTGCCTCTCACTCAACTTCCCAAGAAGTGGATGTGATGGGCTGAGCCCAGTAAGCACAGTCCTGCCAGGGGTTATGTCTAACCTCCTTACATGTAGTCATCTTACTCCAGCATTGCCTGAGAGGAGCTGCACCATAATCAACACCCATCAACCAGCGTGTTGGAGGTTTCTGGGAGATGAGCAAAATCAATAACATCTGCACCTAACAAAGATCCTAGTTGAGGCTTGCTGTTAAGAAGATTCGGGAACAATGCTTTCTCTTTCTGCTGTCTGTGGAAGTATCAGTCTTTTCTCCTTTAACTCTATGAGAATTTTCCCAAAAAAATTTAAGAAAGGGTCACAGGAGTGATAAAATATTCAAATACATTTTTATTATATGAAATATTTAAAGGAATTAGTTCATAAAGTTATAGCACTTCATAAGTCATCACAGAAATTAAATTCTCCCCTAGCGTCAGGGACACTCAACATACATCATCTCATTTTGTCTCTTGTCAAAACTCTGTAACATTTTCTCAAATGGGCTCATAGGGTAAAATGCTCATGATTTCAGGGTTTAAGAATGACACAGAATGGATTTAAACTGCAGCAGGTTTGCTCCTAAATCCATACCCTTGCTGTAGTAGCACCATGCCTCTCATTATCTGGCTGCCTTTTTCACCTGGATCTCTGATGGTACATCACTTTTTCAGGAAGTCTTCTAGACAACCCTAACTGAAAATGCCACAAAGCCATTCATTATCACAGTACCCTCTTTTAATTTTCCAGTTAGTACTTATCAGATATATTCTGGTTTATTTAATTGGCAATAAGTTATAGGAACAATAACAGCATAATATTAATACCAATGCATTTGGTTAATATTTAATTCCTTGGTTTTTGCCTCTATCCCTTCACAAACTGATGGAAACTGTGCAAGGTGGACATGTCTTGTTTACTGCTGCAACTCCCATACTTGGGATACAGTGAGAGATCAATAAATATGTATTAATGAAAAGAAAATAATCCAAAGATATTAAATGCTGTGTCCAAAAAGCCTTACAGTGATTCCAAGGTGCAAACTCCAACGATCACTATTATGTAAAAGAGTAAATCTTATTTGCAATTTACACATCTGTGAAATCATGATTTATGTTTATCAACAAATTTCCTTAGGGTTTTTAACTTCCTCCCTTTCAAATAACATATTTAAAAGAAAAGGAGTGAGGGTATATTAATCGTATCTCATTTCACATCAGTTACACTGTGTCAACTAGGAGCGACAAGTTAAAACAATATTTTGGATAAACTTGTTTATCAACAAATGTCATGAATACATTGCATATGTTTCCTTTACACTCAAAAATTGAATATATTTAAAAGATTTCTGCTATACCTACAAAATTACTTCTGTATAAATAATATCCAGTTCTGGAAACCACAAGACCTTGTCTCTGGAGAAAACATTCTTCCAAAACCATATGAATAATGACTTTCCCATTTGCCAAACTCCAACAAAATACATAATTTGGGCCTCCTAGTTACACAACTATAACTGATGTCGAGATGACACATCTACTCTCATTTTCTTTCCTTTAAGTCTTTTATTGAAGGGGAAATCATAATGGGAAAATCTCAAGTGACATGAAATTCCTATTTATTATGGCATGTGTTTGTGGCCAACAGAGTCTTAAAAACTCATATTAGAACTGCAATTATCTTTCATGACAAATCAAAAAGGATCGTTTGTTATTTTTCTACATTTCTTTTTTTTAATCCATTCAGTGTTTACACTGTGTCCCACAGGCCTACCATTGGTCCCTGGATGCCTTACTGCATTTTTCAGTGGTTCCTACTAGGAGACATCTTTTCTTACTTATGCAGGTGCTCAGAAAAAATTTTTTAAAAAGCAAACTGCAAAACCAGAATAATTTTGCTAATACTTCCTCCTTTATGTTAGCATCTTCTGGGTGGCTTAGTGCTGTAAATGCTATATTTTTCTATGTGGAAAAATGTAAAAGCTGTCTTTTAAAAATGTCTTCCTGAGTACTGTCTTCATGAAATAATTTTTGTTAGGGAATATTTTCTGTCTTTTTGGATGGAAAAGCACTGCTGTTGGTGAAATTGATAGAATGAGATTTACTATTTATTGGAACTCTTTCAACTAAAAATAGGCATGTTAAAATCCATCTGTTAGAAATGTCTACCCTAACACTACCCAGTAAATCTATGTAATATTGATATTCACCTGGATCTCTTGGGCTACAAGACAAAGGCCTTGAGATATCCTCAGACATCAAACTCACCAGACAATCACGACTTTCAACTCTCAACAAATTCCTTTTAGCCTTTACATTTTATTTCTTAGCTTAAGTCCCATTTGTTTGCTAGTAATTCTGAATTTCTGCTAAGCACCGTGCCACTCGTCTTCATTTGATTAGGTCAAGCCAGTGGACTTAATTTTAGGACTTAAATTCATGAAGAAAGTTTAAAGTTCATGTTCTGAAAAGTGTGTCAAATTCTGAATAAAAACCTACGTTCTTGGGATTTTTCCCCCATCATAATTGAATTCAATGAATCTTTATACTCAACATAAAATGAAGTTATTTAAAATTATTAACAAGACATGTGTAATGATGAGTTTGACATGAAACCGAAGTTTAAGGCTGCAAATCATGATATGATGGGTAGAAATTTTCAAAACTAAGTTTTAATTTGAAGAATTGAGTCATCTTTACAGACTTGGAATATAGGAAGTATTTTAAAAAGAGAAAGGAGAAAACTTTAGTAACACAAAGTTTTTGAAGATATGTAATATATACAAACTTGAAAATAAATTGTAGTTGCAGCGACTCAAAAATAAGTTTAAAAAATTAATTTTGCCTCAGAAACTAATGAAAGTTTATTACCACCCCAATCTGATTTCCCTAACTTCCTTCAGAAGCAAGTGACTATCCAGAAAAGAAGGTTTTTTTCTGCCTAAGAAATGTTATGTAGCAATATTAACATTTTTTCGATATATTTATTTTATTTGCTAAGGATAATGCAAATTAATGATTACAATCATTCATAATTTTAGTTACATTTATAAAGTATAGGTAGCATGCTTATATATCAAATATTAGATCAGAGTATTCAAAATATAAAAATATTGAAACAACAAAGTAAAACTTAGTCTCTTTCTCCCTTATATCCTCTGCCTCTCTTTTGTTTACCAAATAAAGAATTTTAAGGGAACTATAGGTACATTTTCAAAAATTGGATGCCTAAACATTTTGAAATCACCGTTAGGGTATTTCAATATATCAAATAGAAGAAAATTAAACTTATACTTTTTTAAAAAGCATTTTTAAAATTCTGTAACAAATGTTTTTTATTAAAGTCACACTTTTAATGTTGATGCTTTGCATTGTGTCTTAGTTAAATATATTCTTTCCTGAAGTAAATTTTGATGGTACTGTTTCTCTTACAATTTTTCTTGAATTGACCACTAGCAGAACTCAATATTTTGTTCATTTATGAATACATTTACCTATTACATTTTGGCATAATATATATAAATTTAAACTAATTCCTGTGGTCAAAACCACATCTACCAATTTGAGAAGGCTTTAAAGTTTTCAAAGAGACTTGAATGCATAAAACTGGCACCAAGGCTCTTAAAAAGCACCTTCAATTGATTTGTAAAATACTAAAAATGAATTTTCTATTTCCCATATAGAATCATAATCATTTGGGTTTCCTAATAGCAAACTATTCCCTTATCAAGCATAATCAAAATTATTTTTGAACAGGAAAAGAGAGTCTTAGATTAGCATTTTTAAAAATGTTTCTGTGTGCCATCTACTAGCTGTGGTATTGGGTCAGGGAAAAGTGTATGGTATATGGTTAAGAAAAACGAAACTAGATTTCTCTTCCGTGGCTTTACATTGTAAGGCACCAAATGGCTTAATAGCTTTCTGGCAATACACATCTATGATAAAGGTATTTGCAGAAATAAAGCAAGCATAAAAAGACTCCTACACTGCATCATGGCAATGATTAGAAAGGACAGTCTTTGAGCTTTGAAAACAGAAAGCAGAATCCAAGCACACAGTCTGCAGCCCTGAGCAAGATCTCTTTCCCATCCAAACTCTGTTGCAAACCCAGCTTCTCTTGCAAACCCACAGGCTGGAAGAGGAAACCACAGCCACTCCAAAGTGGAGTTTCAGGCCCATCATGAGTGGTTTCTGTCACTGTCTAGTTGCTTTTCCTTTATGAATGAAATATACAGATGGCATCTCACATTGGCTCTTTCAATGAAGAGGAGGAAGGTCAAGAGACACGACTAATACAGCCAGCACATTAGAGATCTGTGACCAACGTACTCACACCTCCAAATGCCTCCAGACTGCAGCCTCTGGAAATATCTATCCCATTTCTTTATGGCACTGTTGCTTCCATCAGCTGTGGAAATTAACATAAAATAATATAGTAACCCAATAGGTGCTAGACAGCATTTCAGAGCATCATACTAAGGGAACAGTAAAGGCACACTGACAGTATTCAAAGCCTAAGTGATAAATAGCAAGTAAATACCTTCTAATCGAACAGAAGGGGGAGGATGCTGAGCCGATACTGATGCTGCCTGCTCTCTTCCTGTGTAACGGCAAAGGCGGCTCAGTCCCTCTGACAGGCTGTAAAGCGTGGCTGCCTATCGGCTCCTGGGCGGTCCTAGTGCCTGCGCCAGGTTAGCACACAAGGTAGCTCCAGAGAGGCTCCCCTTTTTGGTGATTCTTCTAGTGATTATCACCAAAGATTTTCAGCCAGTTAAGCATCAGGGTAGTGGGGTTTAGGTTCGGGAAAAATGATAAGTAGAGAATTTGCTACTGTTAATCAGACACTGCTGTTGAAACCAAAAAGGGTTATAGATGATCTTTTCTGTTAAATAAATGATGCTCATAAAAATGTTGAAGCCAGAGAGTTGTTCAAAAGCAAACTAATTGGATAATATGCTATATTTACTAAAATCCATTTGTTTTATTTTTTCAATGTTTAATGTGTAACAGAAAAAAAATAAAGTCGGATATTTTTGAAGTCTGATATATTTATATAACTATTTGCAAAAAGTGTTTGCTAAAACCCTAAAAAGTCCATGCACAGTTTATGCTGTTCAAAAATATAAAATGAAATAAATGCAAAAACAAACAAAATGAAGACCTCCAGAAATTTATCTCTAAAAGAGGCAAAACGTTCAAGTGCCACTTCATGTAAATGCCAGGCTTCATCTTTCTCTATTCATTCCCCCGCTGTTTTCCCCTCATGACATTTATATTTTTTAATTTACTCCCCCACTGCAGTACAGTATCTATAAAGGAATCTGTTCTATTGACTCCTTTTTTTTTTTGAGACAGGGTCTCCCTCCTGTCACTCAGTCTGGTATGCAGTGGTGCCATCTTGGCTCAATGCAACCTACTCCTCCCAACTCAAGGAATTCTCCAACCTCAGCCTTAGAGAATTTTGGACCACCAGCGTGTGCCACCATGCCCTGGCTAACTATTTGTATTTTTGGTAGAGACAGGTTTTTACCATATTGCTGAGGCTGGTCTCAAACTCCTGAGCTCAAGCAATCCACCTGCCCCAGCCTCCAAAGTGCTGGGGTTACAGGCGTGAGCCACCATGCCCAGAGTCTATTGACTTTGATAGAGTAACACCTGGAAGATTGCTCAGCATATAATACACCCTCAGTAAATATTTATGGAAAGATGAATGAGGCAGTAAGCTGAGAAATTACACTATAGAAAACAGGTACAGAAGTTAATCTCTTAAGTGATTAAATTCAATTTAGCATACTTCTCGGCAAAACAATTTTTAACGAGGGACTATACTAAGTGTATGTTTGCCTCTAAGGAGCTTATAATTCATTATTTTTTGAGTCAGAGCCTCACTCTGTCTCCGAGGCCAGACTGCAATGTCGCAATCTCAACTTACTGCAGCCTCCCCCCTCCCAGGCTCAAGTGACTCTTGTATGCATGCTACACCTGGCTAAGTTTTGCAGTTTTAGTAGAGACAGTTTCACCATGTTGGTCAGTTTCACCATGCTGGTATTGAATTCCTGAGCTGAAGTGATCTGCCCACTTTGGCTTCTCAAAACGCTAGGATTACAGGTGCGAGCCATGGTGTCCAATCAGGATTTTATAATTTAAACATAGAAAAAAATATTAGTGTATGTGTATAATCAAATAATTACATGTACATAAGATACTTGCCATAAAACAATGAACAATAAAGTCAGAATATGCTATATTTGCTAAGGGCTTCTAGTGTGGCTGTTATGAGTGTGGAGTGGAGCTGGGAGATTGGGTTTGATAATTCAACCCAATTTCTTTTTTTCCCTAGAGTACATAGAGTTTGGGTGACAGTGGGCAGGTTGGTACAGAAGGGACTAAAAGCTGAAAAGTTAACTCTAGTAACATTGGTTAGCAGAGTAAATATAAGTGCTAAGACAGGTAAAGAGAAGGAGCACAGGTACAGGTATGTGGGCACTGTAGGCCCTGGATCAAAGCCTCACAATGGCAGGTAGTCAGCAGGAAAGTGTTCTCCTCCACCAAGAGATGGTTGCCTTCCAGAGCAAGGAGGGCAGCTCATACCTTGTGGTCCAGGCATTCAGACCACGTGATAAAGTGTGGCAGCAGTAACAAGGTATATCAGCCTATAACAAGGTGACATGCCATTGAGGCTGAGGCTCAGGGCTTCTGCAACCAAAAAGAGAGGGAGAGAAAAATTCAAGGTAAGACTCTTGCTATGGATAACTCAAGCCTGGGGTTTCCCATGGGAAAAGTACAGATCAAAAGCCATGGTGTGAGACTGAACCCAACCACAAGGGACACTGAAATTTTATATGATCTAAGGATTCAGAAATCAATCTGCTTGTCATCTGCAGGTCAAACAGCTGTGACTGTGGTTGGAGAAAAACTCCAAGGCTAGGGAACCATGTTGACCACTAGAGTCAGGTGAACTCAGAGTGATTAGTGATCAATAAAAGAATGCTTTGTTCAGCCCTGAGGATTGTGATTTGCTTATCCACTGCACTTCTTTCCACTTCTTCCCAATTCAGCATGTTTTCTGAAATGAGGCTTTTTCTTATTTTTTTTTTTAAAGTTGATCAGCAGCAAAAGACACTAATGTACCCTCAATAGATCCTTGTTACTACAAAGTGGTGCACAGGCTGGACTGTAGCAGGGGAGTGGCTAGTGTATGAGGGAGGCAATGCCCCCTCATTGAGCATTTCACTGTAGTTACTGATTTTTAGAATGTTGGAGGGCTCCTTAAGAAATAAAGCACTATGTCCATGATTGGGCCTCAGACACACACTGACTTGTCATCTGTGCAATGACTCCAGGTGGAGGGAGGAAAAGTGGGGCTGCTGAGAGACATGTCACCATAAATCAGAAGGATCCCAGCATGAGGAAACAGATCTCACCACAGAACTTGGGGGTATAGGGGAGTAATGGGTCTCTGTAGAGCTTTGTGACTGAGATGAACATGCCTGTAATAGAAAAAGACTCCATACAAACTGAAAACACAAAGATACTGCAATAGACTGAATATTTGTGTCCCCCCAGAATTCATATGTTGGGATTCTAACCCTTAATGTGATGATTTTAGAATGAGGGGGTTGTTGAGAGGTGATTAGGTCATGAAGGTAGAACCCTGATGAATGGGATTAGTATCCTTATAAAAGAGATTCCCAAGAATTCTCTCACCTGCTTTCTGCCATGGGAGGATCAAAAGGGAAGTCAGCAGCCTGCAACTCAGAAGAGGACCCTCAGCAGAACCTGACTGTGCTGGCACTCTGATCTTGGACTCCCAGTCTCCAGAACTATGAAAAGAGAATGTACATTGTTTATAAACCACCCAGTGTACACTTTGTTATAGAAGCTTGAATTGACCAAGACAGAGACCTCATAAACTCTGTAATATTTCGGCCCTAAGAAAACTTCAAATGTGTGGGTGATGTTATCCTCCTTCCCTTTCAGTCTGCTTGGCTCACGTAGTTGTGTGAGATTTGGTACCTCGAAGAATCACTGGGGATCCCCAACAGGCCATTAACTGCTGGTTCTGTAGGGACAGCTGTGTCACAGTGCCCAAGTTGGTAAAGGATGGTGTTGATATCACAGATCTTGGGCTCAACTTGCCAAAAGCCGATGGTGACGATAAGAATAGTGTGACTTGGACCAGTCTATGGCTTTTCAAGATGACTGTGAGGTGAAGGACATCGTAAGGAGCTGGAATTCATGGACGAGCTGGTGAAGGAGGGCTCAGATCCCATGAGATTGGTTATCAATTTTATGTAGCCTTATTTGTACCCACGTGCTAGTGAATTGTGGCAGTCAGGTGCCATATGCAAATGCACCTGTTATAGACTAGTGTGGGATAATCACTGACTTTGGGACTATAGACCTAGATTAAAACTGACTCTTTGTGTGTCCACGTAGTTGAATAAATACTACTCCCTAGGCCTCTTGTAACGACCCCACGTCAACTACATTTAAAGGCCTAGCACAGAATAGCTGCCCAATACAAAAAGAAAACCACTGGGCAGGACGGCTCATGCCTGTAATCTCAGCATTCTGGGAGGCCAAAGCAGGTGGACCACTTGAGGTCAGGAGTTCAAGACCAGCCTGGCCAATATGGTGAAACCCTGACTCTGCTGAAAATACAAAATTAGCTGGTATGGTGATGCATGCCTGTAATCCCAGTTACTCAGGAGCTTAGGCAAGAGAATCGCTTAAACCCAGGAGGAGGAGTTTACAGTGAGCCAAGATCGCACAATTGCACTCCAGCCTGGTCAATAAGGGCAATCAGAGCAATACTCTGTCTAAAAAAAAAAAAAAAAAAAAAAAAATCACCACTCTACTATAAAAGAAAAAGTGTTTATTTAGTAACACAAAGCCAAAGGTTGCCCCTCTGGAGATGTGCAGCATTGCTGACAGCAATGACTTTCAAGCTTCTTTCACTTTGAAACTCTACAAAGTAAATCTCAGTTTCCTCATAAGCATAATCCAGTAATAATGCCTCTGTGAAGAGTTTTTTTTAGGATTAGATAGGATCATGCATGCAGAGTGCTTAGCATGAATATTCTATACATGGATCAAAGAATGGTTAAATAAATTGTGGTGGTTATTAGAAAACTCTTGAAGGTGATACAGGAGGAGGGCAGTCAACAGCTGGGTAGAGAAAGGTGGGTCCATGGCTAGGGCTCTACCCTCATGGACCTAGGTGAGGAAGGATAAGCATTTCTGCCTTTGTGCTGAAATGTTGCATTTTCCAAGACCACCCTGGCCTACCACGCCCCCATCCTGGGCCTATAAATAGCCAAGACCTTAGCAAGGCAGAGACAGAAGCTGCTGGAGGGTGAGAGGAATGCATCAGTGGAAGAAGACAAGCTGCTGGACATCGAGAGGACATAGAGGGAGCATGCCGGTGGAAAAGCACACTACAGATGCTGGTACACTGGCAGCCCAGCCACCGGCAGGACAAGGCAGAGTCTGGCCTGGGCCAAGACGCACAACTCCAGGGAAAACCATCTCTCTTCTGGCTACCCCATCAGCAAAAAGCTATTTCCTCTCAATAAAACTTTGCATTCATTCTCCAAGCCCACATATGATTGGATTCTCCCAGTACCTCAAGGCAAGAACCAGGGATAGAGAAAGCCCTCTGTCTTTGTGACAAGGTAGAGGGTCTTACTGAGCTGGTTAACCCAAGCCACCTGTAAACAGCAAATTAAGAGAGCACCCTGATAACACACACCCAATGGGGCTTTAGGAGCTGTAAATATCTACCCCTAGACACTGCCGTGAGGTTGGGAGTCCCACAGCCTGCTGGTCTGTATGCTCCCCTAGAGGTTTGAGCAGTGGGACACTGAAGAAGCAAGTCACACCCCCATCACATGCCCTGTGAGGGGGACAAGGGAACCTT